CCTTCACTATTTTGTTGGCTATTTTAGATCTTTTGCTGTTTTCAGTTTTTTGGTATTACCAAGTAATGTTGCCTTGAATAGTTTTTTTTTTTACATAAGTCCTGGTATGCGTATACATACATTTATATTGGGTATATGCTCTGGAGTGGATTTGTGAGGCCATAAGGTATATGTATATTCAACTCAAGTGACTGATACCAAAGAATTTTTCAAGGCAGTTGTATCAGTTTATGCCACCTACCGTCCTTGTTTGAGTGTTCCAGTCACTTTATGTTCTTACAGGCTCTTGGTATTGTCAGTCTTTTAATTTTAGCTGTTTTGATAGTAGTAGTATCTATCTCATTGTGACCTTAATTTGCATTTCTGATGAGTAATGGGATGATATGTTTTTCTTTGTCTCTTCTCACAACCTCTCATTTATGTGAATTATATTGAAATTTGCATGTTAAATCAACTTTCCATTCTCAGTCTAAACACAATTTGGTGGAGATGTATTACCCATTTTATATGTTAGTGGATCAATTTGCTGCTATTTTATGTACAATTTTTTCATCTATATTTGTGAATGGGATTGGCCTGAACATTTTCTTTCTCTAAATGTCCTTGTTAGGTTTTGGTACTAAAGTTTGTTGGCTTCATAAAATGAACTGGGGAGTATACCCTATTTTTGTATTTTCTGGAAAAAGTTGTGAAAGATTATTGTTTTTTCCTTATGTGCTTAATAGAATTTTCTGGTAAAGCCACCTGGGCTTGAAATGGTCTTTGTAGGAAGGTTTTAATTTACATACTTAATTTCTTTAATCATTACAGGACCATTCCTATGTTTTAGTTTTGTGAGTTTGAAAAGTTATATTTTTCTATGATTGTTTTCATTTCATCTAAACTTTAAAGTTTATTTGCAAAAATCTATTATTATTGTTGTTAATATTTTTGAGACAGGGTCTCACTCTGTTATCCAGGGTGCAGCCTTGACCTCCTGGTCTCAAGTGATCCTCCTACCTCAGCCTCCCAAGTAGCTGGGACTATTGGCATGCAGCACCATGCCCAGCTAATTTTTGTATAATTTTTTTGTAGAGATGGGGTTTCATGAGGTTGCCCAGGCTGGTCTCAAACACCTGAGCTCAAGTGATCCTCCTGCTTTGGCCTCTCAAAAAATTGGGATTACAGGCATGAGCCACTGCACCTGGCCTGATTTGTGTATGTTACACTTGACTGATAACACCTTTTGAGTCTCTTAATTAATCTATAGCCACCCACCTCCTGACCTTTTCTTGTTGAGGACACTGGATTATTTGTTCTAATAGGATCGCATATCCTGGAATATGGTAATTGTATATCCATAGTTTATTTAACATCTTCCTTTATCCCTGAATTTCCTAAAAATTATTATTTAAATCTAGCAGCATGATCAAATTCTGTTCAGTACTTTTTTTTTGGACTGAGTCTTGCTCTGTCACCCAGGCTGGAGTGCAGTGGCATGATCTTAGCTCACTGCAACTTGTGCCTCCTGGGTTCAAGCAGTCTCCTGACTCAGCTTCCCCAGTAGTTGAGATTAGAGGTGCATGCTACTTTTTGCATTTTTGGTAGAGGCAGAGTTTTACCATGTTGGCCAGGCTGATCTCGAACTCTTGACCTCAGGAGATCCACTCGCCTCCACCTCCCAAAGTGTTGGGATTACAGGCATGAGCCACTGCATCCACCTCTATTCAGTATTTTGCAAAGAATATTTCTTAGGTGGTGGTGTGTACTTCTACCAGAGGCATATATTACCCAAGTATAGCTGTTTTGTGATGTTAGTGGCTGTTGGCGATAATCACCTAGATCTGTTATTTTATTAAGGATTTACTTTCATTTATATTTTTGCTGGATATGGAATTACTAGTTGGGAGATTTTTTTTAATTAATTTTTTTGAAGATTGTTTCATTATCTACAGTTGAGAGGTTAGCTATCAGTTTAGTTATTGGTTCTTTGAAGATAACATTTGGTGGTGGGAAGAGTTTGGCTGCTTTTAAGATTTTCTTCCTTTCGCTCTTTCTTTTAATTTTCAGCAGTTTTCACTATAATGTGACTAGGACCAGATATAATTGTTTTTAAACAATTTACCTTCTTAAGATTTGTTGGGCTGCTTGGATCTGTGCTTTGATATCTTTCATCAGTTTTGGAAAATTCCCCGTTATTATTTCTTCAAATATTTTCTCTAACCCATTCTTTCTCATTACTCATGTTGGACTTTTCTTGCTTTGTCCTTTATATCTCTTCTCTGTTTTTCATTTTTTGTCTTTCTGATCTTTAATGTTGGATAAATTATTCTCATCTGTCTTCTAGTTAACTAAATCTCTTTTTTTTTAAATTTTGCTTTTTTTCCTTTTTCTTTTATCGTATAAATCTCAATATGGTATATCAAATCTGCTTCTAAACCCCATCCAAGGAGATATTCATTTTGGTTGTTGTATTTTTTAGATCTGTAATTTGCATTTTTTTCTCCAAATTTGGTGTTCATTCCTCTACTTCTTAAATGACTTCCAGTTTTCTACTGAAATTCTTCTTTTGGAGTCTACTTAAAGGGCATGGGATTTTTCTATGTTACATTCTACTTTTTGTGGACCTGAACTCTTTAAGTTTTGGCTCCCTTGCCCTATGAGGCTGAGAAAAACTCTGTTTCACTTTTCAGCTGATCAGCTGCTTCTTCTGGATACCCTCAAGGAAGAGGCTGCCCCCAATACCTGACTGATTTGGCTGGGTGCCCTTTTCTTGGATCTTGCTTTTTAACTGCCCCTTAAGTTCTCTGATGCTTTTTAGTTACCTCGCCCCCACCCTCAGCTTACCACATTTTCTCAATGAGAAGTTTTTGTGTCAGTAATCTTAATCACTGTAAGTATCCCTCATCTGAAATGCTTGGGACCAGAAGTCTTTTAGAATTAGGATTTTTTTTCAGATTTTGGAATATTTGCATATGCATAATAAGATATCCTGGGGATGAGACCCAAGTCTAAACTTGAAATTTGGTTATGTTTTATACATACCATATATACATAGCCTGAAGGTAATTTTATACAATATTTAAAATATTTATACAATATTTTAACTTTTTCTGCATGAAACAAAGTTTGGCTGAATTTTGACCATGACCTATCAAGAGGTCAGTGTGGAATTTTCTGCTTTTGCCATTATGTTGGTCGTCAAAAAAATAAAGATTTTGGAGCATTTCTGAAATTTTGATTAGAGATGTTTGTTTGTTTCTTTATTTGAGATGGAGTTTCACTCTTGTTGCCCAGGCTGGAGTACGGTGGCATTATCTTGGCTTATTGCAACCTCCACCTCCCCGATTCAAGTGATTCTCCCACCTCAGCCTCCCAAGTAGGTGGGATTACAGGTGTCCACCACCATGCCTAGCTAATTTTTGTATTTCTAGTAGAGACAAGGTTTCACCATGTTGGCCAGACTGGTCTTAAACTCCTGACCTCAGGTGATCTGCCTGCCTTGGCCTCCCAAAGTACTGGTATTACAGGCATGACCCACTGCGCCCAGCCAAATAGGGATGTTTAATCTGTACTGGAAATTGAACCTTTTTGCCTTGTTGTTAAACTTACCCATTGATATACTAATAAATACTAACTTTTTTGGATGAACAAAGTATTATTGTTGTAATAATAGTATTTTAAAACTGCAGAAGAGCTTAAAGGAGCAGGAAAGAGTCACAGTACTATCAGTGAGAGGCAGATACTGTTAATATTTCCGAGAGCTGGTTTTGTGCAGATTTGGTTGGGGAAGAGTTTGGAGATTAGTTTAGATATTCTGAGTTTGAGGTGGTTCAGATATCTTAGTTATGCTTGGGGCAGTTAGACATTAAACAAATGGGTTAGGACAAGAACAGTGTGAAGATCTGGATTTAGACATTAGAAGCAGAAAGTTAGTTGGACGAATTAAAGTAAATGGTAGGACAATGGTGATTGTAGACTGTTCCCCTGTTAAGGGTAGCACACATTGAGAAGAGCCAGGGGAAAGGTAAAATTACAAGTCTTGCAGTGTTAAGAAGACTATACAAAATGCATATTTTGTATTTATAGATTACATGTCTATAGGATAATTTGTGTCTTTTAGAATTCTGTAATGGCTGTGGTTTTTTATGGAGTAAAATCTTACATGCTAAACAGTTATATAAAACACAGTTTTCTAGTGTGAAATATTTGCTAGTATTTTAGATCTAATCACAAAATAAATTTAACCATGAATGAAATTCAGGATTTCAGACTTGATGGTGATTCATATTTAGTTTTGTGTGAATGACTGTCATCAATCTCTTGTTCTATTAAATGTGCATCACAGTGTTGAAGAGTAATAAAACTAAGTACACCAAGGAAGCATTAAATATAAATGACACACCTATCACAGTGAATCAGCTTACAGAGAAAGAGAAAATACAAGAAATAGCACTCTTGTATTTCCTCTTCAAGTAAGCATTGGTACTAAAGGTAAAAAGAGTTTTGACTTCAGTAAAATTATTTTTGTGGCTGAGCATGGTGGCTCATGCCTATAATCTCAGCACTTTGGGAGGCCAAGGTGGGAGGATTGCTTGAGCCCTGGAGTTTCCATACCAGCCTGGGCAACATAGCGAGGCCCCATTTCTACAAAAAAAATGCAAAAATTAGTTGGATGGTGGGATATGCTTGTAATCGCAGCTACTCAGGAGGTGGAGGTGGGAGGATTGCTTAAGCCCAGGAGGTCAAGGCTGCAGTGAGCTATGATCCTGCCAACCTGGGTAACAGAGTGAGACTCTGTCTTGAAAAAAATATGTGTGATATAAATTACTTTAGTTCTATACCAGAAAGGACATTTAAAGATAGGCCAGAAATTAATGAGTACATATATCTACTTATTTTTAACATATAATTTTTGAGATATCTTTTTGTTTTTGCATTTTTAATTGCATTTTGATAACTTTGCTCTGTTTTTGGTCACTAAATAAGAGATATTATGATGTGGATATTTGATTTAACAGAGCTACCATAGAGGAGGCATACTCCAGGTCAATGACAAAACTAGCAAAATCTGCAAGCAATTATTCCCAACTTGGGTGAGTTAATTTCTATCTCTTTTTAAGTGTTCATTTAGGCAAAGTTCTTGAGGATACTAGGTTCGTATTGAGGACATAGTTCGAAAGCATTGTCAAATATATACTTATTTTAAAAGTATCTGTGAATATTAATATATTCTTCACTTTATAGAAAATATAATTGAACTTGTTGAATCAGTTAATGCAGTCAAAAGTAACTTAATTTTTTTCCTTTTTTAAGCTACTTATTCAGTAGTGTTTGAGATTATATATGTTATGCACATCAAAGTATTCTAGTTGTCAGTTCATTTAAATTCTGTTGTAGTTTAACAGTGATCTTAAGATAAACTTTATTGAAATGATTAAGATGCATTAAAAATATCTCCTGTGATTTTATAGACTGTCATTAAATCTTCCTTTTAAAAATTTGTATTAAAATGTGTCCTTGAAAAAATGAAAATAATGAAAAGAATACATTTAAAATGAGATGTGGTCATTGCTATAACAATGACAGAAAGAATAATTTTTTTAACCTGAACCGTAACAACTCTAGAAGAAATACATAATCATCTAAAAATTGGGGAAGAGTTGTATATTTTAGCTACAATGTTGAACAAATTATTCTAACATTTAATTAATCATATGGTATTCAGTAAAATATTTCTCTGTATCTGGGATTCTCATGAATCTGTGAATCCCCTGAAATTTTATGCAAAATTTTGTGTGGGTATTAATTCATATTTCCAGTGAAGAGGATCTTTACCAGTTTTCAGACTCACAAATGATTCTGTGATTTAAAGAAAAATGTTTAGGAATGACTATCGTATTAAGTATTCTGTAATGTAGTTGAATGAGTTTAAACAAAAGGCTTCCTATTTTGTGGCCTAGGCGAAGAGGAATTGAAATCTTAGGTCATCTTACGGTGGTGGCACTGTCTGTTATGTGTGTGCTGAAAGCCAAAAGCCCAAACGCAAGAGGACCTCCTGCATCCCCTACTGTACAGTGTGTCTGGGAAGGCCAGGGAAATAGCACCTTTTTTACCTAGAGGAGAGTGGATTCTGGTAGTTGATAACTGCTTTAGTTTTCTTCCCTCTATATTGCCTTCCAGTTTCTTCATTCCTCACCTCCCTCTCCTGCAACTTTGTTCTTCATTCTTTTTCTCTCTCCCTTCTTACTTTTTGTACATTTCTAGAGGCTCCTAGAAATGTCCTTTTATTTCTAGAGGCTCCATGTTGATAAGCCTCTTCTGAAACTAATTTATTATTTATTTACCACAGTAGATGGACCAGAAAATAACTAGAAGAAAGGCTAGCTTTTACCAATTGACCATGGTTTTATTAGAGAAAATTCTACCCTATTCTTAGTTACCAGGTAGTAGACAGAAGGAACATGGATTAACTTCAGGTATGTTAAATAAACAACAACAAAGCTATTGACAGCATTTCTATAGAAGTGTACTTTTCATAAATAATAGTATATTGTTTTTTATATTAGTGTCATCTCTCAAGACTGTAAAGATTTTAAATATTAATGTTTTTGCTTATTCCATATTTTAGTAAGAAATTAAATTTTGTCTTTCAGTTTTCAGTTGTATTTAAACATATTTAGATTTGTCAGTTATCTTTCTTAGTGCTTATTAGTGTATATAGTAATGTGTATTACTTGACCAGAAAAAAGTTATGTATATCAAACTTTAAAATATTGAATGGTATTTGAAATTCTTTTAAGAAACTCGTGTTTAAAGCCATCTTGGCTGGGTGCGGTGGCTCACACCTGTAATCCCAGCACTGTGGGAGGCCAAGGCAGGTGGATCACCTGCATTCAGAAGTTCGAGATCAGCCTGGCAACATGGCAAAACCCCATTTCTACTAAAAATGCAAAAATTAGTTGGACATAATGGTGGGCACCTGTAATCCCAGCTACTCAGGAGGCTGAGGCAGGAGAATCACTTGAATCCGGGAGGTGGAGGTTACACTGAGCTGAGATCAGGCCATTGCACTCCAGCCTGGAAAACAGCCTTGAAACTTCCTCTCAAAAAAAAAAAGCAATCTTATGGTGAATCCCTTGCAGTTTAAAGAATGCTTTGGTAAAGTAAGGGACATGCCCATCTTACCTGCTTTGTGAAGTCTAGACTATCATATATCAGATTTACATGAAATGAGATGTGTATTTCCATGAATAATTTTAAAGTATCTTTTTCTCTTGATATTTTCTATCTAATACTTGCCAGATTTAGTATTGATTAGATTTTAAAGTATGAGATGAGATTTAATCAAAACAGCCTTTTTTGGCCAGGTAAGGTGGCTCACGCCTATAATCCCAGCACTTTGGAAGGCTGAGACAGGCGGATCACTTGAGGTCAGTAGTTGGGAGACCAGCCTGGCCAACATGGTGGAACCCTGTCTCTACTAAAAATACAAAAATTAGCTGGATGTGGTAGCACGCACCTCTAATCCCAGCTACTCAGTAGGCTGAGGCAGAGAATACCTTGAACCCAAGAGGAAGTTGCACTGAGCCAGGATCACACCACTGCACTCCAGCCTGGGTGACAGAGTTGAGACTCCATCTCAAAAAAAAAAGTCAATTTTTAGGGATTTTAATTATCTTTGAGCTTAAAAAGATTTTTAATATGTAGAGATGGGGTCTTGGTATGTTATCCAGGCTGGTCTTGAACTCCTGGCCTCAAGCAATCATCCTACTTCGGCCTCCCAAAGTGCTAGGATTACAAGCATGAACCTGAACTTCATTAATGCATAAAATGATTGTCGCCACTTAATTTTCCTACTGGGTAAGAGATGCAATAATTGGCATAGAGTACATATTGGAATAAATAATTGTTTTCTTGGCCCTCTTACCTTAGTGATCATTGCAGCTGTTTTGTATTCAATCAAAAGCTTTTTCATAGAGACCACTTTAAAGCCAGTACCTGAGCAAAGCATAGGATAAAATTATCTTTAAATCATTGTCCACTGACCAAATAGTTTAAAATAACCATTGGCATTGTAAGTACTATTCAAGATATGAGAATATAGTAATTCTTGGATGTATTTGAGCCTACTGAACATTTTTAATTCTTTTTTTTTTTTGAGACAGAGTTTCACTCGTTACCCAGGCTGGAGTGTGCAATGGCACGATCTTGGCTCGCTGCAACCTCCACCTCCTGGGTTCAAGCAATTCTCCTGCCTCAGCCTCCCGAGTAGCTGGGACTACAGGCGTGCACCACCATGCCCAGTTAATTTTGTATTTTTAGTAGTGACAGGGTTTCACCATGTTGACCAGGATGGTCTCAATCTCTTGACCTCCCTTGATCCACCTGCCTTGGCCTCCCAAAGTGCTGGGATTATAGGCATGAGCCACTGCGCCTGGCCTTTAATTTTTAATATTGAGAAAAAAATGATAGGAAAGTATATCACATGTCCCATACTCTGTAGTAGAAAGGTGACTCTATTAGTGTGTTATTGGAGTACACAAATAGAATATAATTAAAATACTCAAAGGTTTCAGATAACTGTCCTAAAATAATTCTTATGTATTATTAATGATGAAGACACTTTAAAAAATTATGTGTAAAAATTTGACTTTTGCATGTCTTTTAAATTTACAGACACTTTATTTTTAATGAAGCATTTTAAATGGAATACTTCTTGCTAACAGTTAATTTTTCAACAATAGACAGTGATAGAAAGGGTTCTGATACAAGTCTAAATAACTAAATCAACTCAGACATTAATATAAGAGGGGTAAGATTTGTGATAGTGTAATTAACCCATTTCTAGATTCCTGAGGTTCAAAAATATTTTAAATAACTAACCAATGATTAAAAGAATTCAAGGTCAGTCTGTCAATCATTTTATTCATTATTTTAGTTTCATCTTTTGCCTAAATAAAGTTGCCCTATACACCATTATTGTTTCTGTTGGTTCCTTGTTAGAACCTTAATTTTTTTGTTTTTACTTTTAATAAGTTATTTCCACATCTTTTATTTTCTTAGAACGTTTGCACCAGTATGGGATGTATTCAAAACATCTACAGAGAAATTAGCAAATTGTCACTTGGATCTTGTTAGAAAATTACAAGAATTAATAAAGGAAGTTCAAAAGTATGGAGAAGATCAAGTAAAATCTCATAAAAAGGTATCAGTTTTTTTCTTGTTAAAGAATTGATTGGTCAGATATTGAATACAGTTTAGTCATTTTGATGAATTGTTTCATACTAAACAGACTAAAGAAGAAGTTGCAGGAACTCTGGAAGCTGTCCAAACCATTCAGAGTATAACTCAGGCCCTCCAGAAATCCAAGGAAAATTACAATGCCAAGTGTGTAGAACAAGAGCGTTTGAAAAAGGAAGGAGCTACACAAAGAGAAATAGAAAAGGTAATAAAAATAACATCTCCGTGGTTTCAAAGTACTTTGACATACAAAATTGCATTTAATATTTAAACTCAAAGTTATCTCATTTATTTATTTATCTATTTATTTATTTATTTATTTTTTGTTTGTAGAAAGTGATTTAGAGAGAGAGAGAAAGAAACAGGAGAAGGAGAGAGAAATAAACAGCTAACTCTCACACTGAGTGAGAGAATCTAGAAAGCTGATATCCAGGAGAGGAAAGCAGCTTTCACATGGAGTGGAAGGTAATAGAGAGAGATGGAGATTAGGAGGGGAAGACAGGCTTCCACAAAGGGAGCGTTTGTGGAATGGGACTCCAGAGGGGAAATCCAGGATAAGAGTAAAACAGCTTCCATGAGCACAAGAGTGTTTGTGGAAGGAGATCCAAACATGGAGTCCCCAAAATTACCTCATTTTAAAAATGAAGACACTGTGCCTTACAGTTAGTGATTTACCTAATTAAAACACAGGAGATTTGTAAAATATGTTGTCTGTGGTAAGTAGATTAGCAGGCACATAAAAAACAGTGACTTATTTATTTATTTTTTTGAGATGGAGTTTCACTCTTGTTGCCTAGGCTGGAGTGTGGTGATGTGATCTCAGCTACTGCAGCCTCTGCCTCCCAGGTTCAAGTGGTTATCCTTCCTCAGCCTCCCAAGTAGCTGAGATTACAGGTGCATGCCACCACAACTGGCTAATTTTGTATTTTTAGTAGAGATGGGATTTTGCCATGTTGGTCAGGCTGGTCTCGAACTCCTGACCTCAGGTGATCTGCCCGCCTCGGCCTCCCAGAGTGCTAAAATTACAGGCGTGAGCCACTGTGCCCAACCAAAAAACAATGATTTTTAAATATCAGTGACACATTTTCAGGATATTTTTGTAGTAACATAATTGATGAGATAATTACTTAGTATAAGATTTAACAGAGATAAAATTGTTTTGAAACAAGATTTTGGTATATTTAGAAAAATAAAGGTACTTTCACATAAGCTTTAAATGTGTGTTGTGGTGATTTATTGCTGACTTTGAGAACATTTATGTAGCATTGTGGTAAACCACAATCTTTTCTTCCACTTACGTTTTAATGGAAAGTAGGTTTTTTTCTCCTTTCAAAATAGTTTAACCATTGACTTATTTGATGTGGTATATCTCACTTAAGAATGAGCCATAGGGAGCGATGATTTTGAAAGCATTGTAAAATGTTTGAAATACCCAGAAAAAAACGAATACTAAATTGTATCAATAGTATGATTATGACTATAAAAGGACTGTGTACTTACATACTTTTATGTGTTTAAATGCACACTTTATTTTTGATGAAGCATATTAAGTGGGATACTAGTTTTACATTGAAGTTTGATAATAGAGTTAATTTTTAACAATAGATGGTGAAGGAAACCCTTCTGATACAAGTCTAAATAACCATATCAACTCAGAAATTATGTAATTAAATGAGAGGAACTGTTGCAAGACTAGTGATAGTGGAATTAATTCATTTCTAGATACCTGAGGTCCAAAATATTTTAAATAACTAATAGATGAAATATGATATATGACTATACACGGGCAAAAACTGAAAGAGAATGTGGAAAAATAAAAGTAGGTGATAGAATTCGAAGCAGTAAGGCACATGATCTTAGGACCTCCTGGGGGTTATGTCACAGATGAAAAAAAGAATTTGGAGCACTATGCTGTGTTTGTTTGATAAATAAAAATTGGGTTTCTATAATAAATAAAAATTGGGAGCAGGGGAAAATGAGACACAGTAAGGACATGGTTTGAAAACACCCTCTGCTTCAGACATAGTAATTATGAATAAAATATAAAAAGGGAAAACAAAATAACAGGGTCCAAAAAGAATAATATTTTATCTCTGTGGACCTGAATAGAACAGAAATACAAAATGCACATAGAGATTGATTATGGAAGGTATTGAACTCAAAAATCCTAAAGTAGGCAGTGGAATTTGGCTCTTAAGTGGCAAAAAGGACTAAATGCTCCCCTCTTGGGATGAGGCACAAAGAGCCTGGCTTATTGCCAAAAGCTGTAGATAGGGAGGAAAGAAGGCTCTTGAGTTGCTGACAAGAACTAAAGCCTCATTGGAAATTGAGGAGTTAGGGAAACAGATACAGAGACATAATCCTGACTTGGAATCAAGCGAAGGAACCATTTCATGACTGTTTTGGCCATATCTATAATATTCTTGCAGGGAAGTAATTAAAAATTACCTTCATAAGACTGAAATGAAATAGGGCCTTGGAGAGGTGGCAGGAGATAACCTTAAAACTGCTTGGGGATGGGTGAGCATAAACTATAAAGCATAACACAATTTTAGGAGGTACCATGTACATTTCTATGAATGTTCAGCAGTACTGATGAAGGGAGAGAGAGAAGAGAGAAAAGGACAAAATTAAAAAAAGAAAACAACTCCCATTCTGAATGAGCAAACAACCAAAATTGTAGAGCACATCTAACAAATCTAATACTAGAACAACCAATAAATTCAATACTTGGAATAAGAATTCACTCTAGATGAAATTTAAATTTATAAGAAATGAACAAAAATGATATGTGTTGAGGATGTTCACATAAATAAACATAAACTTACATTAAAGAAGATTAAGAAATTGAAGAAACATAAACAAGATTTAGATAAGAAAAAACAGCTAATTGAAAAGCTTGGAAATGAAAAATATGGTTATTGAAAATTTTTAAAAGCCATAGAGAAAAGAAACTTTAGACTTGATATAGTCAAAGAGTGAGTTTGGAAGGTAATATGGAGAGACCTTACCCAGAACATAATAGGAGAATCTTCAGAAGGAAAAAAATGGAGGAGATGGAGGGACAAGTAATACTTGAATAGTTAACAACTCAAAATGTTTCAGATTGAAGAAATTTAAGAGCCCTCATATTGAAAGTACATTGTAGGTATTAAGCAGGTTAAATAAATTCAGACCTAGACACTAGAGAAAAAGAATATTAAAAGCTAGGAGGCATTTTTTTTTCCTCATATGAAATTAGAATGCATTTTCAGTTGATGGTATGGTATAGTCATTTTTGGTAAGGTAGCATTTATGGTGTAGTTTAATTGCCTGTGCAAACTTCGTTGCATGATTGGACAGCTACAGTGCTTTGATATTTGAGTTAACAGACCATTTAAAGACCATTTGAGGAAGTAATGGCTTTGATTATTTTCTGAAAATCTTTTACTGATACCATTTGTTAAGATCAAGTGCTTGGAAGAAAATCTGAAGATAATAATGGAGCGCTTTAAAGAAATGCACTGTCAACTGACAAAAACAAGCAATGGGGAAAGGATTCCCTATTCATTAAATGGTTCTGGGATAACTGGCTAGCCATATGCAAATAATTGAAACCGGATCCCTTTCTTACCTCAAATATAAAAATCATCTCAAGATGGATTAAAGACTTAAATGTAAAACCCAGCACTATAAAAACTCTGGAAGACAACCTAGGTAGGCATTACCATTCTGGACACGGGAATGGGCATAGATTTCATGACAGACACCAAAAGCAATTGCAACAAAAACAGAAATTGACAAATGGAATCTAATTAAACTTAAGGGTTTCTGCACAGCAAAAGAAACTATCAGGAACAGATAACCTGTAGAATGGGAGAAAATGTTTGCAAACTATGCATCTGCAAAGGTCTAATATCCAGCATCTATTAGGAACTTAAATTTACAAGAAAAAACCTCATTAAAAAGTGGACAAAGGACATGAACAGACACGTCTCAAAAGAAGACATACATGCAGCCAAGAAGAAGAAAAGCTCAATATCACTGATAATCAGAGAAATGCAAATCAAAACCGCAATGATACACCATCTCACAGTAGTCAGAATGACTATTATTAAAAGGTCAAATAACAGATGCTGGCAAGGTTGTGGAGAAAAGGGAGTGCTTATACACTGTTTGTGGGAGTGTAAATTAATTCAATCATTGTGGAAAGCAGCGTGTGGCAATTCTTCAAAGAGCTAAAAACAGAACTACCACCCCAGCAATCCCATTACTGAATATCTCCCCAAAGGAATATAAATCATTGTACCATAAAGACACATGCCTGTGAATATTAATTACAGCACTATTCGCAGTACCTAAATGCCCATCAGTGACAGATTGGATAAGGATAATGTGGTATCTATTCACTGTGGAATACTGTGCAGCCATAAAAAATAATGAGATTATGTGTTTTGTGGGTACATGGATGGAGCTGGATCCCATTATTCTTAGCAGGAACAGAAAACCAAATACTGCATGTTCTCATTTATAAATGAGAGTTAAACATTGAGAACACATGAACACAAAGGGAAGAGCAATAGACACTGGGACCTACTGGAGGGAAGAGGCTGGGAAGAGGGAGAAGATCAGAAAAAACAGCTGTCAGTTACTGTGCTTACTAGCTGGATGATGAATAAGTTGTGCACCACACCTCCGTGGTACACAGTTTACCTGTAGAACAAACCTGCACATGCATGTTCCCCTGAACCTAAAATAAAAGTTAAAAAAAGAAATACTTTGTCAGTAAACTGAAAATAATTTGAAAGAAATAATTATAATACATATCACTGTATTAGACTCCTGTGGTGGTTTGTTTTTTTGTTACTTATGACAGAATACCTGCAAGTGGGTAATGGCTTGTTTATTTTTTGAGACAGAGTCTCACTCTGTCACCCAGGCTAGGGTGCAATAGCAGGATCTCAGTTCACTGCAACCTTTGTCTCCTGAGTTCAAGCAATTCTGGTGACTCAGCCTCCCAAGTAGCTGGGATTACAGTCGTGCGCTACACCTGCCTCATTTTTGTATTTTTAGTAGAGATGGGGTTTCAGCATGTTGGCCAGGATGGTCATGAACTCCTGACCTTAAGCGATTTGCCCACCTTGGCCTCCCAAAGTGCTAGAATTACAAGTGTGAGCCACTGCGCCTGGCCTGAAACTGGGTAATTTATAAGGAAAGGAATTTATTTTTTACAGTTATAGAGGATGAGATGTTCCAAGTTCAGGGGCCACATCTAGTGAAGGTCTTCTTGCATGTGGGGAGTCTGCAGAATTCTGAGAAGGTGCGACCACATATGGTGAGGGGACTGAGCCTGTTTAGGTCTCTCTTCCACTCCTTATAAAGCTATCCGTGCTATTCCCGTGATAACCCATTGATTGATGAACTCAGTAATCCATTAATTAATCTATGAGGGCAGAGCCCTCATGACCGAATCATCTATTAAAGGGCCCCACCTCTCAATACTGCCACTTTGGGGATTAAGTTTCAATGTCAGTTTCATAGGGGACAAACAAACCATAGCAGCGCCTCTAATCATAGATCAATTGTCACATTGGAAAAACCTGTTATATATTTCATATAATGGGACTCTACAGCAATTTAAATAAATAGCAAAGAAGAGGGGCAAGAATAGATTGAGTCTTGAAACTAGGTGATGGATTTGTGGAGTCTTAATTACATTATATAAATGTTAAAAAAGAATGACATGTATTAACATGAATAAACCTAAAAAGCATAATATTGAGCAAGACGTTTCAAAAGGGTATGTAGAATTTGATGCATTTCACATAACCTTAAAAATGCTACTGACTCTGCTTTCCCCTTTCCCCTCCCCCTCCTTTCTCCCTCCCTGCCTTTTCCCTAGCCCCCTCTCCTTCTGCCCCCTCCCCCAACTATCTTCTCTTCCCTCCTGGTCTTGGAGGACCCCATCCTAGCCCAACCTGCCTCTGCCCTCAACCTCCCAAATGCTATCAGTGCCACTCCCAGCCCATGTGGGCCCCTACGGCTACCCACGCATGTTCCCCAGCTCCCCATTCTGCTGGGCTTTCCCCTTGCCTGGGGTGGCTTTCTGAGCTGCCCATTGCATGCTCCTCTTTGCAGCTTCTCCTGCCACTCAGAGCCCCTGTTCCCCAGCCCAGCGAGAGGGAGCTGGTGGGGAGCTGGTGGCGCTTGGCTGCTGGGGGTAGAGAGTGGGTGGCAGGGCGGTGCTGGGATCATCAGGATGATGCAGTTGCAATGTCTGCTGGGGTCGCGCATGTTCATGGCCTTCTCCACCAATCTCTGGAGGTTCTTCATTTACCTTTTGCGGAGGCAGATCCGCATGGTAATTCAGTACCAAACTGTTAGATATGATACCGTCCCCTTACCTCCTGTGTCCCAGAATCGGCTAGGTGAAGAGGAAGATCCTGGTGCTGGATCTGGATGAGACACTTATTCACTCCCACTGTGATGGGGTCCTGAGGCCCACAGTCTTGCCTGGAACGCCTCCTGACTTCATCCTCAAGGTGGTAATAGACAAATACCCTGTCTGGTTTTTTGTACATAAGAGGCCCCATGTGGATTTTTATAATTAGGTATTTTTTGAATTTTCTATTTTTATGGGTCTCCTTTCAACTTGTAAATATCTTTATTAGGCATGATCAGAAATTGTTTTTATCAGTAGCTGGTTAATACATTATTAAGCAATAATTTAATGAGCAGCAGAGAAAAGGAAAGTAGGTATCAGGATGAGGTATTAGGAACAAGCAAAGAAGGGGCTTCCAGTAGGGTTATGTCATTTTGATACGTTGTGTCATTAAAAATCACTCTGAAGGCCAGGCTCAGTGGCTCACACCTGTAATCCCAGCACTTGGGAGGGTTAGGCAGCTGGATCATTTGAGGTCAAGAGTTTGAGACCAGCTTGGCCAACATGGTGAATGAGACCCTGTCTCTACTAAAACAATAAAAATTAGCCAGGCGTAGTGGTATGCACCTGTAATTACAACTACTCGGGAGACTGAGGCAGGAGAAGCACTTGAATCCAGGAGGCTGAGGTTGCAGTGAGCCAAGATTGTGCCATTGCACTCCAGCCTGGGCCATAAAGTCACACTCCATCTCAAAAAAAAAAAAAAAAAAAAGTCACTCTGAAGACTCTAGGTTGTTGTTTGCCATTCTACACACTGAAAATGCAAGTATTGGAAGAGCAAACTAAAATTTCTTTGCATTAAAAAAAAATCCAAAAGGAAATCCGGATTAAACATGCCATTATAATTGTTTTTAAAATAAATTCTAACAAACTTGGTTATCCGGGTTTCTTGGGAAGGTACACGGTAAACTTTGTCCATGTCATTTAACTGTTATGTATTTGAACAGGGGCAGGATGTTAGAGGATTCCAGTATAGTAACTGGTATAAAATAATGTAAACTGTGTGGAACTGGGAAAAGAGTAAAAAAATTTATAGGAGCAAACTAGAAAATTGTTACAGATTTTAGTCACTTTCTATAGTGATAGACAGCTCAGTATAACTCAGTAACTCAGATATATCTTTATATAACAGCAAAATATGACGATGTGTTTTCTTGTTAGAAACTATAATAAGAGCAGGCACTGTTTATTTTTAAATTTAACTCTATGCCAGAACCTGTTCCAAGCATTTTATATAACTACATTTCATCACTACCACAGCTTTAAAGAAAAAGTGATATTGTTTTCATTTTAGGAATGAGAGAACTGTATAAATTTCTAAGACAAGGTAAGATGGGTAGTACAGTGCTGAGATTTTACTTTCCTTGGTTTCATTACCCCCTGTCCGGTACAGTAGGATATTTAGAGAGCGAGTGGTTATATTCACATATAATGTTATTACAGTATATTGTTTTAATTGTTCTATTTTATTATGAGTTGTTAATCTCTTACTGTGCCTAATTTATAAATGGAATTTTATCATAGTTATGTATGCATAGGAAAAAAAGATACAGAATATAGAGTCTGTACCATCCACGGCTTCAGATATCCACTGGGATCTTGGAATGTATTCCACATGGATAAAGGGGCACTAGTGTAAATGGTAGAGCCAGAATTAGAATCGAATTTCTTCTGGCCCCAAAATCAGTTTTGTTTACGTTGCATGGTAAAGTGGCATGCTATATTCTTTAAGAAGGCAGGGAAGTACATAACATATATACTTAATATAGTATAAACAGTTACATTTTAGAGAGAGTACAAAGTTGCTTGTTTAGGGAGTATGACTATATGTACCTCTTGCCAAACCCAAACCCCAGGGTAAACCCAGTTTTCTGTTTGTAGTTTTTGTTCTTAGATTCCTGATCATGGCTGAAGATAATTACATATTGGTACTGAAGATAATTACATATTGGTACTGACTGACTTTAAACAAATTCAGTATTTTGCAGCTTTCCTTGCCCTTCAGTGGCACTTAGCAATACTTGTACTCATCTAGTCGTGACCTGTTGCATTCTCCACAATTATGGTTTGAAACTTTTTGTTCTCCTTAAGCTCCCAACTCTATCTTACTGTTCCTCACTCATACCAGACCCATCTGTTACCTCATTAAGAAAATGGGGATTTTTATATCTTGAAATCCTACAACTTGTCTTTCTTTGATCTCCTTTAAACTTCTTTCATCCAGCCACATCCCTCCATCTTCCTGTATCCAAGCTGATCAGTCCTTTGAGAATAGTCAAGCTTCTTGATAGCCGTGTTTCTGCTTCAGCCTACAAACTACACATACCAAATGCCTATCTTCTTATAATTTATCTTGACTTGTGTGGCTGTGTTACTTTCTTCCAGTTTCTGTTTATGTATAGATTGTACAGTACTGGTTAATTTTTTTTATTAATTAAGTAACTTTTATAAAACCAGTACTATAATATTGCGGTAACAGTTTTGTTTTGTTTTTTAAATAGAAGTCTTGAAAAAATAGTCAAAGATTAAAAAAAAGTTTCTGTATTTGCTGGAGCATAATGGGAGCTGAGAAACATCAAGGGAACCAGGCTTCACAGCTTTTGAGATAGGTTTATAGTCTAATCAGACATTGAATAAAATATATGTATGCTGTGAGGAAGAGCATATGTATATTTTTCACAGGTGTGAAAAGGAGTGTCAAACACTGTTCTGATGGTATTGTCACATTTTTGCACATTGTCTGGAAATTTATTTCCAACAGTATGTTAACATATCTTAGTAACACTGTAGCATTATAATGTAATTACACAGTCTTAGTCTGGGATTTAAAATGAGAGTATATTAACTTTTCAAAACACATTCCATCAAACAAAAGAGAGAATCAGTGTTTAAGTCCTGATTTCTTGGCTGACTGTAGCAATAACAAAAAGGCTAAAGAGGGCCTCACAGCACGTATTAAAGTTAGTTATATGTCATATTGAACTCTTAAAAATGTATTTTAATTTACTATTCATATTAACTTATATTAGGAAAGAAAAAAGGTCAATGCACAGTTTAAAATGTTTTTGTTTTATTACAGGCAGCTGTTAAATCTAAGAAAGCTACAGATACCTATAAACTCTATGTGGAAAAATATGCATTAGCAAAAGCTGATTTTGAACAGAAAATGACAGAAACAGCTCAGGTTGGTATTTTAAGGCTTCAAATTGAAAACGGCATTTATATTTGTGTATACTGATTAAGTATAATTTTTCTTTGATATGATTTTTTAGTGTTAGAAATTTTAAAATGCACAATCTCAATATTTTCATGATGCTATTTTAAAAATACATGTCTTGTTTTGGAGATTGAGAACCAAGATGCAATAATTATAATGTCAGATTAGAAGAGCCTGTTAAAAGAGAATTGGGGAAAATGAGGGGATTGGTACATGATGAAGACAGTACTTAAGCATTAATAAGAAAACTGGAAGTGACTTAGTACTGAGGTTACGGCAGTCAATAAAACAACCCAAAAAACCCCTGGTCTCTTACATTTTAGTGAGGGAAGACAGACAAAAATGTCTGCCTTCCATTAGCTTGGGATAAATTATATTTGATGTAGTGTTCTCAGAACCTTAATTAAAGGCCTCATTTAAGGTGGCTGCCTTTTAGGAATCATGCCTAACACTTCTACTCTCTACCACCCCTGCTTCTTGTCCTCTTCCTTGTTTTATTTTTCGGCTTAGCACCTATTGCGATGTTACATACCAAGAATTTTATTCCTGTATGAGTTAGGTCAGAGTAAGTATGCTGAGATGACACAAGGCCCCAGAAATCTCAGTGGATTACAATATCAAGGGTTTATTTCTTTCTCTTGCTGCATGTTCATTATGGGTTGGCTGCAGCTATTTTACATCGTCTTCACTGTAGTCCTGAGGCTGATGGATGAACCCCTTTTTGGAATGTTCATAGTTACGTCTGAGGGGCCAGGAACATGGTGAAGCTCTTTTACCTATGTTCTTTGTCTGTTTTTCCCCACTAAAATGTAAGTTTATGAGAGCAGGGATCGATTTGTTTTGTTTACTGCTATATCCCCAGCATTTAAAATTCCCAGCATTTAAAAGTTCCCAGCTCATGGTAGGCACTCAGTAAATATGAAAAACTTTGTAAATCTAAATTTTTGGACTCTAGGTCTTCATTATGTCTTGCCATTTGAAGTAGTGAACAACTCCTATCTTAGAAAGCAAAGTATTGCATACTTGTGTGCATGTCTGTGCATATCCATCTTTACCTACAGTGGCATAGACTCTGCTAGATGCTGTGTATACGGTACATCTGTAAATATGACAAATGTCTCTGTGCTTGAGATGACATTTACAGAATAGAGGAGGGAGGCAGACATTAAATACATGCTTAAATATAAAGTTATAAATTATAAATTATTGCAAAGGAAAACAATAGGCTTTCATGAGATAGAATAATTGGAATGACTTAATCTGGCTTCGGGAGTTAGGAAAGGCCTTTTAAGAGAAGTGACATTTAAAACCAGGACTTGCAGAATCAGCAAGAAATTAATGGGGCAAGAGTGGTATAGGTTTTGGGGATCATGAGCATGAAGGGTCAGAGGTATAAAAGAGCTGTTACATTCTGGAACATAAAAAATGCTTACTAAACCTGACCAAGGGAAAATGGTAGTGAGAAATTTGGTTGGAGAGCTATTCAAGGACCAGGTTGTATTAGGTTGGTGCAAAAGTAATTGCAGTTTTTGCCATTACTTTTAATTGCAAAAGAATTCAGGTTTTCTTCTAAGAGCAGCTAGAAGCCATCTAAGGGTTTTAGGCAGGGACGTGACATGATCTCATGCATATTAAAGAATAATTCTGGTAGTTTTGTGAAGATTTGATTAGAGTATGGCTAAAGGAGAATCAAGACTCCAGTTTGGAAGGTAACGTAGCAGTCAGGTGAGAAGGATTCTAAACAATACTGTATATTGTTTTTTAAAAAATAAGGGAATAAAAGGAATTCCAAAACACTCCTGGTTCCAAAAGTTTTGGATTAGGATTATGAGACCATATAAAATAAGGTGTCGTCAGCATACAAAGCCATGATGACATCACTTTTAGTTAGAGTTGAGGGGTAGGGAAGAAAGGGCCTCAGGACCAAGCTCTGAGAGACTCATTATTGAGATTTTCTTAGAGAAAGCCAAAGTAGAAAGAAGAAAACTGGAAGTATAATGTCATGGTAGCTGGGAAAAGAAGCTTTAAGAAGAAAGAGTTTAGGTAGTTGTCTTAAATAAGACTTCAAGTTAGTGAGATAGAAAGTTTCAATTTCTGTAGCAACTGAGGTCATTGCAGACTTCAGCAAGTGCTGTTTTGTCTTAAATCATGGGGAGCACACATTTGTAAGGCAATTATTGTTGATTTGTTAATTTCACATTAAATGATTAGTCTCTATCAGCTAAGTGTTTACCGTTTTGTTAATTTTCTAAATTGTAACAAATAGAATTTGCTGTAGTCAGAGGTTTTTTTTTTTGTTGTTTGTTTTGAGACAGAGTCTCGCTCTGTCGCCAGGCTGGAGTACAGTGGTACGATTGTACCTCACTGCAACTTCCTTTTTCTGGTTTCAAGCAATTCTCCTGCCTCAGCCTCCTGAGTAGCTGGAACTATAGGCATGTACCACCATGCTTGGGTAATTTTTTTGTATTTTTAGTAGAGAAGGGGTTTCACCGTGTTGTCCATGATGGTCTTAATCTCTTGACCTCATGATCTTCCTGCCTTAGCCTCCCAAAGTGCTGGGATTACATTCATGAACTACTGTGCCTGGCTGATCAGAGTTGTTTTTTATTGTTTTTAATTGTACTTTAGGTTCTGGGTAAGAGTTTTTTGTTTGTTGATGTTACTTTATAAAAAAGAATGTTCAGCACATCTTTCCATTTCCTTTTCATGTTCTGCTTCCTTGTTACATTTTTTTTTTTCAAAATGTTTGTTTTGCCTTTTTTGGGTTTGTTTGTTTGGTGCTTTTAATTGTTTGTTTTGCCTTTTTTGGGTTTGTTTGTTTGGTGCTTTTTTTGTTTTTTAAAGATGGCCTCACTCTTCACCCAGGCTGGAGTGCAGTGGCATGATCTCAGCTCACTGCAACCTCTCTGCCTCCCAGGCTCAGGTGACCCTTCCACCTCAGCCTTCTGAATAGCAGGGACTGCTCGTGTGCACCATCATGTCTGGCTATTTTTTTTTAATTTTTAATAGAGACAGGGTTTCACCATGTTGCCCAGGATGGTCTCGAACTTTTGGGCTCAAGTGATCTGCCCAACTCAGCCTCCCAAAATGCTGGCTGGGATTACAGGCATGAGTGACCACGCCAGTCCATTCTGCCCTTTTTAAGATGGGAACATTCATTTATTTGAGCAAATATGAGACCATGCTACTTTTAAATAAATATGATGACATAACTTGCTAATGTGTGTGTTTGTTCTTTCTTAAGATCTTAGAGATTTCTGTTTTTCTCTCTCCGTCATATACGTAAAGCTGCAGAAGAGGTTAATCATTGTTTCTTCACAGAGAATAGTTTAATTTGGGGCATTTTGGAAGGGAAAACAATCCTTTTCTCCACTTAACTGTTTTTTCAGGCCAGCTGGGTTGATCAGTCTCCGTGGGAAAGAACCTGATAGTATAGTGAGAATCAAATTTGGGTGGCAGGACCTGTATTTACTAGCGGGAAAAGATAATTGAGTCTCTAGAGTCAAAGAGGTTAGAAATTAGAGTATTTGTGATTTAAATTTTTAAAATTTGGGTTTAGAATTCAAATGGTTGAAATTGTGACTTTTTATGCTCATGCTTTTACCACTGTTAATTAATGAGACACTTGAAACAGAATGTGGAGATTTTGTTTACTTTAAAGCATTGAGATGGCTAGTTTATGGAAACTTTGAGATTTGCTAAGCGGTACCCTCAGATTAAAGATTATTAGGATTAGAGTACTTTTATATATCTTTAGTGGATGACAGGATAGTGTAGCCATGTGTCAACAATGGGGATACACTTTGAGAAATGTAGTTAGGCAGTTTTGTCGTTGTGTGAACATCATAGAATGTACTTACCAATGGCCAGGCATGGTGGCTCATGCCTGTAATCCCAGCACTTTTGGAGGCTGACGTGGGCAAAGTCACACTAGAATCGCTAATATGTTGAAACCCTGTCTCTATTAAAAATGCAAAAATTAGCCAGGCATGGTGGTACACACCTATAATCCCAGCTCCTTGGGAGGCTGAGACACCAGAATTGCTTGAAATGGGAAGCAGAGGTTGTGGTGAGCTGACATTATGCCACTGCACTCTAGCCTGGATGACAGAGTGAGATTGCTTCAAAGATTGTGTACTTACTTACACAAACTTAGATGTTATGACTACTACAGACCTGGTTATATGGTATAGTCTGTTGCTCCTAAGCTGCAAACCTGTATAGCATGTTACTGTATTGAATACTATAGGCAGTTATAACAAAATGGTATTTATGTGTTTAAAAGTAGAAAAGATATAGTAAAAATACAGTATAAAAGATTAAAAATGCTACACCTGAATTAACACTTATGGTGAATGGAGATGGCAGGACTGGAATTGCTCTGGTTGATTTAATGAGTGAGTAGTGAGTGAATGTGAAAGCTTAGGACATTACTGTACACTACTGTAGATGTTATAAGCACTGTACATTTTGTTTAATTTTATTAAAAATTGTTTTCTTCAATAATAAATTAACCTTAGCTTACTATAACTTCTTTAAAAGCTTAAAAAATTTTTTAAACATTTTTACTCTTTTGTGATGACCGCTAAAAGAAACACATTACAGTTGTACAATATTTTCTTTATATCTTTACTCAATCAACTTTATTTTTACATTAAAAATTTTTTTTTAACTTTTTAAACCTTTTTCCTAATAACTAAAATGCACACATAGTAGGCATGGGCCTACATAGGATTGGGATCATCAGGATCACTCTTTTATCTCCACATTTTGTCCTCCTAGAAGGTCTTTGGGGTAGTAGCATGCATAGAACTGTCATCTTCAGCTGGACATGGTGGCTGATACCTGTAATCCCAGCACTTTGGGAGGGCGAGGTGAGTGGATCACTTGAGGTCAGGAGTTCAAGACCAGCCTGGCCAACATGGTAGAACCTTATCTCTAGCAAAAATACAAAAATTAGTTGGGCGTGGTAGTGTGCATCTATAATCCCATCTATGCAGGAGGCTTAGGCAGGAGAATTGCTTGAACCTGGAGATGGTGGTTGCAGCAAGCAGATTGCGCCACTGGACTCCAGCCTGGGTGACAGAGGGAGACTCCATCTCAAAACAAAAAACAAAGAAAACAAACAAAAAAACCATCATTGCCTATGATAACAATGTCTTCTAGAATACCTCCTGAGTGACCTGCTGCAGGCTGTTTTACAGTTGTTTTTTTCTAATAAGTAGGATTACACTCTAATAATATATTTACTAGTAACACCATTTATTATCAAGTGTTACGTGTTGTGTATTATGTGCTATGTAGTACTTTTATGTGACAGGCAGCACAGTAGGTTTGTTTATAACAGCATCACCACAAGCATGAGTAATATGCTGCACTATGTTATGGCAGCTATGATGTCACTAGGCAATAGAAAGTTTTCATATCTGTTTTGGGACCACTCGTATATGGCATTAGTTGTTGACAGAAATGTCGTGTGGCTTCTGACTATACTTTAAAAAACTAATACAACAATACATGTGAACACAGGGAATTTGAATTTGCAGGGGTAAAATGCCTAATTTGTTCAAGAAAGTTCTCTTAGGTATACTCAAGCACGTGAGACTGTATCCATTTCTCATTGCTGAATTACTCTGAGTTTAGTAATTAACTAAGTTTGAGGAATTGTGATAGTTAGCAGTGTGCCCCTATTGCCAGAACTCCCACAATTTCAAAACTGTATCTGAATCATGCCTCGAATTTCTCTGTGGATTCGTGTTTTAAGATGTTTCTAAATAAATAAGGATCTGTCTGGCTGAGTGTAGCTTTGTCAAAAGGGAATGAAAACAGTTTCCTCGGAGTTAAGGGCCATTCAAATGAAATTAATGGCTCCCTGTCTATGAGAAAATATCTCGTTCATTAAATTGATGAAATTTAAGCTAAGGGCCATCCTTTTACTAAATGTTCCTCAGTTCTTGAGAGTAATTCAGGATCTTGGAATACACGTACTGTATATTCATTGACTTGGTCAAAATTAATCAATGATAAGCATTTCAATTCTGCCATTCCTCATAAATCAAATTGATTTAAGTTTTTGGGCTGTTGCATTACTGCCAAAACTGTAATTTCAGTATTCTGGATTTTCTTTTTAGAAGTTCTTACCATTTACACATTAGGTATCATTTGTTTTGATGATTTCTGTAGCTTAGTGCAGAAGAAATTTGGGCATTAAATATGGGGTCAGGGAATTTAATTTGATAAACTAAGCAGAGAACAATAATAAGGCTTTTAGCCTCATTCCTTAGAACTGATTTAATTTAGCAAAAAATGGATAACCAGGTTTGTGCAGTAGAAATGTCTATTGTATTTTGTTTGAAAATGGGTAGCTCAGCATTTCCCAAAGCCTGTTTTGAGGACAGTTACTGTTCTGTGAGATATTAATAGATGTTCAGGGAAGAAGAAAAACAAAAGTGTTGTGAGGTCAAAGAAATTTATAAAGTTCTGGGTTAAGCAAAGTGAAACGTGTCGTTATTTCAGTATTTCTCAGAGCTTCTTTTTTTTTTTTTTTTTTTTTTCCTTCCAAGACAGAGTCTCAGTCTGTTGCCCAAGCTGGAGTGCAGTGGTGCAGTTTCGGCTTATTGCAGCCTCCACCTCCCAGGTTCAAGCAGTTCTCTGCCTGAGTCTCCCGAGTAGCTAGGATCACAGACACATGCCACTATGCCTGGCTAATTTTTGTATTTTTAGTAGAGACTGGGTTTCCCCATGTTGGTCAGGCTGGTCTTGAACTTCCGACATCAGGTGATCCGCCCGCCTTGGCCTCCAAAGTGCCTGAATTACGAGCGTGAGCCACCATGCCCGGCCTTTTGATATGTTTATTGTGAAGGCAGGGCAAACAATGGTTTTCTCTCTGGGGATATCAGTATAACTTGAAAATTTTTTTCCAAGCAACATTCTTGCCTCTTTCAACCCCCATTCCACGGGCAGTACTAGAGGACTGATGTGTTTGAAGTTTGAAAAGTTTCTCCGGGGGATCTGATGCATCCTCACATTCGGTTGAGAACTGTTGAAATAGAATATATAGGCTTTTCCAGATTTCTTTGATCACAGACATCTCTTTTGGAGATTGTATATTATTATTTCAAGGATTAGAAAGACATTTAAAAAATCTATGGGCTAGAAGTCTTTAAAAGTAAACTGTAGTTTTTGCTCTGCCAATTAATTGTTTTTCCATTTTTGAAACTCTGGTTTTTTTGTAACACTGTTCCCTGGGTCTCCTAATTTTCTGATCATGATTATAGATTTTAATGTGTAATATGTTCAAATCCTAAAAACATTTGTATTTGCCTAAGAAGTGGCATAACATAAAGTTAACTTTTTGTAGTACCGTATTTCCGTTTGCCTACTAGACCTGTTTGTCTTGAGGCATTGTTAAACATTGTGTAACAATGGTAACTTGGAAAATTTGATTATAATGAGATGCTTTCTTTTTTTGCGTGGGAGACAGACCAGCTCTGTTGCTCAGGCTGCAGCGCAGTGGCTTGATCTCAGCTCACTGCAACCTCTGCCTGCCAGGTTGAAGCAGTTCTTCTGCCTCAGCCTCCCAAGTTGCTGGGATTATAGGCATCTGTGTCTGTGTGTGTGTGTGTGTGTGTGTGTGTGTGTGTATATCCGTATGTATATATGTATGTGTGTATACCCGTACATATTATAAATATGTAACTTCTTATATGTTATCCAGAAATTTCAAGATATTGAAGAAACTCATCTCATTCACATAAAGGAAATTATAGGATCCTTGTCAAATGCTATAAAGGAAATTCATTTGCAGATAGGCCAGGTAAGTTTTCGTACTTTATGTTGAACTATTTATGAAAATTTTATGTTTATTTATACCTCTTAAAAAATATTTTCTCACTCTGTTCAAAATTCATGAGTATGATACTGAATTATTCCAGATAAATAATATGTATTTACATGTATTAAATATAAAATAAACTGGATATTTTATCATTTTGCCACCAAGGATGATACTTCACATTAATTTTTTAATTTAACTATCTTCAGTTTATTTTATATTGAATTTCTAAAGCTATCAGCTTTTGAATATTTTTTTTTCAAGGTTTACTATTTTTAATTTAAAGTGGCAGCTTTATTAAACTGCAAAACTTTTTCTTAGAAATGTTCCACAAATATAAAAGAGTAATGATGGCAATTCGGGGTGCATTGAAATATAGTGGAGAAAGATGAAGTCTGTATTCTTCAAACTAGCCAGGCATGGTGGCTCACACCTGTAATCTCAGCAGTTTGGGAGGCTGAGGCAGGAAGATCACTTGAGTCCAGGAGTTCAAGACTAGCCTGGGCAACATAGTGAGACCTCATCTCTACAAAAAATTTAAAAAATATTAGCGGGGTGTGGTGGTGCATGCCTATAGTCTCAGCTACTTGGGAGGCTGAGGTGGGAGGGTCACTTGGGCCCAGGAGGCTGAGGCTGCAGTGAACCTTGACACCGAGCAGTCTGGGTGACAGAGTGGGACTCTCTGTGTGTGTGTGTGTGTGTGTGTGTGTGTGTGTGTGTGTTTTTAATCTAAAAGTGTTTTGATTGTCTGCATAAGTCTTATCAAAAGAATGATGTCTCTAGAACACTTGAAGATGTGAACAGAAGACTGCTTTGAATTCTAGGGGCATGAGGCTGTATGTTAAAGGTTAGTGTAAATGATGGTTGGCCCCCACAGATCTAGTAACACTGGAAGCTAGGTAAATTAAAAGTTCCCAAAGGGCCTTGGGTCAGAAATACACATTTTGATGTATTTAATTTTACTTGTTTTATGGAAGTTTTATCTGAAATACAGTAAGAATGTTTGTGGAAAAAGAAAAAGTTACCTTCATTCCATTTTAATAGGTCCATGAAGAATTTATAAATAACATGGCTAATACTACAGTTGAAAGTTTGATACAAAAATTTGCTGAGTCAAAAGGCACTGGGAAGGAAAGACCTGGTAAGATGATAAACTCTGCAAGGAAACATTTAAAATTTTTCCATATAGTAACAAATATATTTGCCTTGAAATTCATGTGGGTAAGGGGTAGTATTAACTTTATATCACATGTCTAAAGTTAAAAATATTTCCAAACTCTGAAATGGAGCCATACCTAAAAATGGAGCATGACTAAAAATCTGTGTAAAATCTCAGATATTATTATTTTTATGTCTGATGATACATTAAGATTTTTGCTTTGGCTATTAGTGGCTAATTGAATTTAGTAAAATGTTATAATAACTACTTTTATTATAACATTTTACTAAATTAATCTGTCACAGTTTGTTTAGATTTTTCAAAATAGAGTTGCCTACAGAAGGCTATTTTAATAAAAGAAAGATTGGAAGAGAATATTGAATGCTCAGAACATTGAGACCAACATAGAACCTTTCTTAAAGTTTAATAACTTCTTTCTTTTCTCATTTACATATGCATTTAGCAAATGTATTTATTGAGTTCTAACAATATACCAGACCCCATTCAAACATTTGGAAGATACACCAATGAACAAATGGATATAGGAATCCTGGCTCCTATTTTTATGAAAAAACGATAACAGAAGTTCAAATTCTACTTTTAATCAACATGTTATTATGTATCAAATAAGTAGCCCGTTCCTTTCCCTGCTCAGCATACTTACAGTCTTCCAGATTTCTTGAATCTATTTATTAGTTACTATATCATGTTCTAGCAAGATACATGTTTCACTCCACAGGGGAAAATAATTCAGAGCAGTAAAAAAGTTAAAATATGGTATGGCATTCTGGAAAATGGGCAAGTGATCTGTGAAGTTTGGGACCCATTTTTCCTCAGTACAGTTCATAGACCTAAGGCTTGAAACCTAAATAATCTTTAATTTCTTCTTCCCAAATTTTATTAATTTTTAAATCTTACTGATTCAATTGTATTAGTATTTTTCCTGTGAGACTTTGTTTTCATGCTTTCTCTAACTGCTTGATTAATTTGCATATTTCTCATACTGGTACAGCAGTCATTTCTTCTCCAGTCTATTTTACATGTTATAGCACATTCATCTGTTGCCTGTACAGTTTTGAACTTAAAATTGTACAACTTACAAATCTTTGAATTTTCACTATCGACAGAATGAAAGTTGAATTCTGGACTTGGTTCCGGAGCCTTTAAGGATCTCAAACTGACCAGCCTTTAGTCTTACTTTCTTTTACTCCTCCTATTCAAATACCTTCACTGATAGCAACCTGAACGGCTTGCTGTTTGCCATATGTAAGCCCTTTTTTCCTTTAGTACGTTAGTTGTCTTGAATCCTTACTGTCTTTAATCCTTACTGTAGCCATATTCCACTACTTTTCTACCTCACATCTTTACATTTATTTGTTGAATAAATGAACTCTTTTAAAGAGCCACGTTATTATCTTTAACTTCTCCATCAAAAGTGCCAAAGAACTTATGTATTTCTTTTTTGCCTTGTTGCTGTCCACCATTAAATTTTAATAGTTTGTAGTTGTGAAAAAGTTCTGTATTTGGTTCATCTATTTTCTCTATTTGTAAACAGTACATTTTTGTTAATGAACAAAGGAATATTTAATGGCAAGATTACGGTGTTAAGAAGGTTGGAATGGATAGATTGGCTGTTAAAAAATTTTTAAGTGAATGCTAAATAATTATGGTTAATGTTTAGTGAACTCTTACTCTGTGCCATGTACTGTGCCAACCACTTTACAGGCACACTTTGATTTTTAGCAACTCTTTGAAATACGTACTATGATTCCCATTTTACAGATGAGGGAAATATTGAGAGGTAATGTTGAGACATTTGCCTAAGCTAGTACAGGGTAGAACTGGGATTCAGTTTTCATGCTTTGGAAAAATTAGAATAGAACTAAGTATATATTGACATAAATTTTAATTTGGAGAATTCTTTGAAACCAGGGGACTGGATCTTAAATGTGAACCTAAACTGATGAACGATACCTTTTTCCCCTGGGTCACAAATGATCCAGAGTATATTTAAGCAAAAAGAAAGAATACAGAGAAGCAGCTTGAAGGAGATTAGTGTTTTTCTTAAAGTATTACTCTAGAGAATAATTGGAACATTAAAATGTGTTCTCAATCAACCAATTTTTATTTTGATTGGCCTTTTTTTTTTGGTGACTTTTTTTCTCTTCCTATGTAACTTTTCCCACTCTACTTTGGCTTTGTGGCTTTTTTTTTTAACTGCTTTTTGCTTTTATATGCCAGTGTCATTTCCTAAGACATTGCTCAGCCAAAGGCTGACAAGTATGTGGTATGTGCTGCCTTATTCATGGCAGATACCATTACTAGATCATTACATTCTTCCCCGGAGGAGACTTCAGAATCTCTCTCATCTCAGTGCTGTAGGCAGTCACTGCCAATATTGAGTGTTGGTACTCACGTTCAACCTGTCATCTCCAGCTTAGTTCAGTAGAGACTTTTTATTGGTGAGTGTCAAAATGCCATATAAACAAGCCTAAGCAGAAATTCCATACATTGGCTTTTTTTTAAACCTGGAAGTCTGCAGTAGATTCAAGGTACAAATGGATTTCATCAGGACTTTGTTTCACCCTTTTCTCTCATTTTTTTCTTTACTTGGCTTCAGATTATTAAGTTCCCGCTGTAGACTTTTTCCTCATAACTGGCAAGGAAGGGCATCAGCAGTCCAAGCCTATATCCATTCAGTTTAGAACCCTAGTAGAAAAAACTTTTTTTTTTTGGTAGTGTCAGCATATTAATTTCAGGGAAGTTTCTGCTTTTGTCACATGCTTATCTTTGTATAAATCACTGTGTGTTGGGTACTAGGATATTGTAATTGGTCAACATAGGTCACATGCGCAGATCATGGAGGACCAGGATTTGCATTCTGAAAGGGATAATGGAAATGTCCTTTGAACAGACAAAAATTACTACTGTTGTACATTGTGGAATCATAGTACAAAGATACCAAACCCCAAAATAAAACCTTTTAGAACTGTAGTAGGTTGTATATGTGTTTCAGGTGTAGGATTTAATCATGTTGTTAATGTTTAAATATTTGGAAATAACAGTTTAAGAGGCATGGATTTACTTTATAATTAGATAATACTAGAAGAGAAAAGTTACGTAATTTGGTTTGTCTTATAATCATGGAGTTTTTATTACATAAGGGGACCTTAAAAGTAATGTAGTCCAAGGCTGGGGGTGGTGGCTCATGCTTGTAATCTTAGCACTTTGGGAGGCCGAGGCAGCTGGATTACCTGAGGTCAGGAGTTTAAGACCAGCCTACCTAACATAGTGAAACCCTATCTCTACTAATTACAAAAAATTAGCCAAGAGTGGTGGCATGTGCCTGTAATCCCAGCTACTTGGGAGGCTGAGGCAGGAGAATTGCTTGAACCCGGGAGGCAGAAGTTGTGGTGAGCCGAGATCATACCATTGCACTCTAGCCTGGGCAATATGAGTGAAACTCCATCTCAAAAAAAAAAGTAATATAGTCCAAATACATTTATTTAATACACAGAAATATGTTGGAACTTATCAAATACATGCCACTAACTTCCTTTAATATAGACTTGCATGTGAATTAAGATTTTGTCAGTTCTTAGAAATTTTGCTAACTCAGCGTATGAGGATTGCTGAACCCTTATTCATCATAATGTCCTACTTGTCAACCTACTTGTTCATTCTCTGTGAAGAACTCAACAAATATACGGTTATTCTAAATTCCTTTCTGTTGGTTAGCTAATAACTGTATTTTGGGAATTACCTTTAGGCTCACTGCTTGATTCCTTTTGTCTGGACATTTAGATCATGTTTCATTTCTTTTTTTGTGTGCATGACATGGTCTTGCTCTGCCACCCAGGCTAGAATGCAGTGATGCAATCATAGCTCACTGTAGCTTCAACCTCCCAGGCTCAAGCAGTCCTCCCGCCTCAGCTTCCCAAGTAACTGGGACCACAGGCACGTACCAGTACACCCCACTAAGTTTTAAAAATTTTTAGTGGAGACGAGATCTCACTATGTTGCTCAGGGTGGTCTTGAACTCCTGGGCTCAAACAATCCTCCTGGCTCAGTCTTGTAAAATGCTGGAATTACAGGTGTGAGGCACTGTGCCTGGCTCATGTTTATTTTCTTGTTTGTGGTACAGTGCAATGGTTTGTGACCTGCTCTTTACTAGCAGTGAGACCTATAAGCCTTAGTGCCCTCATCTGTAAAGTGGGGATAATAATAGTAACTGCCTCATGGGGCTGTTGTAAGATTTATGTGAGAGAATGTAACATTTATTAAGTATTTAATAAATTTTTTTTTCAAAAAATGATGCATTTCTCTTGAATAAATAGCCACAAATGTAGTTTCATTATAAATTTAATTTTATTGGCCTCGAGATATACAAAGTCATGTAGAAAATACTTACAGCTAGATAGTAGGAAGTAATAGAGAAGCCAGGAATGGTGATGACTTGGGCTTTCCTAAAGTCACTAAACCCAGAATTAGCTGTTTCAGGACCCCAAAGAGTCATTTAAACAGTCCTAGAACAAACTAACTGGTGTGGGGTGGAGTGGAAGGAATAAATAAATATTATTTCCCTTGTTGAGTTGCTATGGGCAACTGACTGCAGCTCTTTCATATGTTTTTTTGTTGTTTTTTTTTTTTTTTTTCCTTTTTGAAATGGAGTTTTACACTTGTTGCCCAGGCTGGAGTACAATGGCACAGTCTCGGCTCACTGCAGTCTCTGTCTCCTGGGTTCAAGTGATTTTCCTGTCTCAGCCTCCTGCATAGTTGCGATTACAGGTGCCTGCCACCTTGCCCAGCTAATTTTTTTTTTTTCAAAGTGCTGGGATTCTAGGTGTGAGCCACTGCACCTGGCCTCTTTCATATGTATTTTTTGAGAGAGTTTCACTCTTGTTGCTCAGGCTGGAGTGCAACAGTGTGATCTTGGCTCACTGCAACCTCCGCCTCCTGGGTTCAAGCAATTCTCCTGCCTC